TTCATATCACACCGCCTCAGTATTTCACCGTCTTTCCATTGCTACTCGTCCCATGTGCTACACTCCCCTCCCTGCTATAAGTATGTTCTTCCTCCACCAACACCCGTACTACCTACCCGATTCCTATTGGTCGTTACCTTGGCCAATCCCGCTCACCCTTCCCCTCCCCTCCAAGCGGCCACGCTAGCTATTCGGCAACAGTACGCTCTCAGGAAGACCACGACGACAGAGTCTCAAACTAGATAAATCCAAAATGTGTGGTCATCCATTCCGCAAGTGCATGGGTTGTTATATAGCGGGAGATGACTGTGTTATTCCCCCGCCGCCACGTCGACATTCAGTCTCGACCAAAGAGTTTACATGTAGGGGTTTTCCCCTCGTACGTTGGCCAGCGTTCTCTCTCTGGCTGGATGGAGCGATGTGGGCGTAAGCGCGACCGTGAACGTAGACCGAAACGTACTTGCCGTGGGTCGCGGCGCCATGCAGCGCCGTGTTGCCTCGGGAGTCAGCCGCATTGATGTCGACGCCAGCCACTAAGAACTCCCGGAGCAATTTTAGTTGGCCGCGCTCCGCCGCTATAATCATTTGCACTTCCCTGGATAATTCAGGTGACGTGGAGCGTTTAGATGAGGAGGATGACGGTAGAGGATTTTCTGTAATGAGAAGGGTTCCGGGAGTGGACCGGGAGACTTCGTAGCAGGCACCAGAGTCAGGTTCGGTGTCGGCGACAGGACCCGCACCGGCGACAGGACCCGCACCGGCGACAGGACCCGCACCGGCGACAGGACCCGCACCGGAGACAGGACCCGCACCGGAGACAGGACCCGCACCGGAGACAGGACCCGCACCGGCTGTAGTTTGGCAAGCGTTGTTAAGGGTAGGAATGAGGATGCTAATGGGGGTAGGAGATGCTGGCAAAGGAATCTGTATGCTGATGGGTTCGAGAGAGGCTGCCGGAGATTTCTGGTCGGTCCGGCGAAATGGAGTCTCTTCCTGCTCGCATTCTTCTCGCACTGCGTAAAAACATCACCGCATCAGAAAAAGAGCGAGACTGCAACATAATGTAAATGGTATTTTGTAAGGGATATTTCCATACTGCCAGATTCTGAAAGAATTCGTCATGTGCACGTTCAGCGAAGCTCATAGTACTTGAGGCGTGCGGCGTTCGGCAGCTTCGTCATGTTTCGTCTTGTGGCGTCTTGCCGGCTGGCAATTAAATTACAGGACGTGCACAGCGGCTCCGTACAACATTCAGCCTCTATTTATCATAGACAACATAAAATACTCGAAACATTATACTACATATACACAATATCTTACACAATAAACCCTTGCACCGGTTCACACAGAAGGACACTTTCCCTGCTGTACCACACCGCTGTCCGATAAGTACATACCATTTCGCGTGTGATGCACCAACCTTACGCGAGCATGACCGCGAGTATGCCGCACCTAACCCGTCACGACCGTAGCCAACACCGGCTTCGTGCCCCGCCCGCGGTCGCCTATGCCCATTACAACTGCCAACGCCCGCGCCACAACCCACACGACGCCTTACCGACGCGCCCCAAGAATCAGATGACAACAGAAGATCGAGCCTAGCGGCTATCCGCCTATATCACCTTCTTGGGCAGGCTTGACGCGAACTGCTCACCCGCCAGTGGTCCCCGACGCGTTTCCGCCGCGGTCCGGGGTCTCCCCTGTTGCCACCCACCGAAACCCCCCCCTTCCCTTGCTCCCTAGTCTTGTGTGCAGCCCACCGTCTCCTTCCGC